TCGGGCTCTGTGCTGACAGCTCAGAGCCTGGAGTCTGCTTCATATTCTGTGTCTCCCTCTCTCTCTCTGATCCTCCCCGCTCACACTCTGTCTCTCTCTCTCTCTCAGAAATAAACATTAAAAAAAATTTTTTTTTAAAGAAAAAGAAGTTATGGGCCTGCCTAAAACCTGGTTTGGAAAGCCAGTTCTGCCATTTCAAAAAGTTTATTTCCATGATTTCCAAGGGCCCTTCTTGTTCCCTTAAACTAGGACTTAAAATTAAAATCATAGGATGTTTTAATGTGATAGTGTTTACACACAGAAACACAATAAACAACTCATTTTTATTGTTGCTTTTTTTTCTAACCACTTTTTAATCTGGGGATCACCTCAGAATAGGATGCAGTGCACTACTTAGCACAACAATTTGAATATGCACTCTGAATGCAATTGGCAACTCCCATAAAGACTATTATTTTGAAAGCCATAGAAAAAGGGCTTACAAAGTTGAGGAGCAAATTCAATTTCTGCATACTTTTTTTTTTCTCTGAGGCAACAGCAAAGCTGTGTCTTAATCCAAGCAAATGCACAGAAACACATTATCTGTAGTCCCACAATTACCGAGTTTCCAAGTCTCCTCCACAAGTACTATCTTCTTTGTATCTTCTTTGTATTCCTGTAGTCACTGACCCTGAAAGTTCAGTTTACTAGAGTAATTAGAGGTGCCAGACAAATCAAATAAGTAATTTTCCAGAGCCACCTTTCTTCCTCAGCTTCTAAAGCTGAGGGGTTGTCAAGGGAGGTTTCTTAGAATCACCTGGGAAGCCTTTCCAACCTACACTTAGTGCGCCCCACACCCCTCTCCCTCCTGCAAAGCGCTGTTTTAGCTTGGGGCTTCATGGAGTCCCACTTAAAAGGGCCTGTCCATCTTTTTAAATCCTACTCGATCTAAGATAGATATAGGTTAAAAACAAGTGAACATAGAACACACTGGCTTTGTCACAACTGGTTGGGCAAGTCACTTCTTTCTGGTCTCAGTTTTTTCCTCTGCTCTTTGAGGTCCCCTTCCAGCTTTGAAATTCTCAGACTGCATATCCTGTCTAAGAAGCTTTCTGAAGTACTCTTAGCATAGAATGACTAGTCATTTCTTAGTTTTCCAACAGCCTGTGCAATACAGCATATCCCCTAGTTCTGTACTGTCCTATGTTGCCCTCTAGTTGTTTTCACATGAATTTTTTTTCTTCTCAACCAAAGTTAGTTTAAAATATATTTAGTTGAAGAACTTATTTTCCAGGTTAGGCAGTGTGCATTCTGCTTAACTTAAATCTCCTAGGGCAACTTGTGGTGTGTCCGAAGGCAATCAGTATATTGATTCATTCAAAGCAATGACATCCCTTCTTTCAAAGACCTGGAGTTCTGTTTTTACATCATTGCTGTCCAGTAGAAATATAATGTGATCCCGATATGTAATTTTAAGTTTTCTAGTGGGCACGTTAAAAAAGTGAAAAGACACAAGTGAAATTAATTGTAACCCTATCTTTAACCCAAACATATACAAAATATTAGCACTTTAACATATCAGTGTGAAAATCGAGATATTTTATATTCCTTTTTCGTAGTAAGTTTTCGAAATTGGTTGTGTATTTTACGCCTACACCACATTTCGTTTCAAAATAGCCACATCCGCGGGCTCAGTAGCCCCATGTAGCTAGAGGCTACCCTATTGAACACCGCAGTTCTGCATGATTGGGTTGCTTTCCAAACCGACCACTTTTTTTTTTTCTATTCTTAGGACACTGAGCACTAGGTTAGCTGGAAGGGTGTAAAACTTAATCGGACTCATTCTTGTAAGGGAAATAGAGTTGTAAATCGCTAGCTGTAATCCATTGTCGTTGGTGTCTTGACAGATTCACAGAAAGTGAAAATTTTCAGTGGCTTGGGGGGGTATAAAAGAAGGTTTCACAAAATAAGTAACTTTTGAAAGGAAACTGTGGAGTGACTAGAGTTGCAGGTTACCAGGGGTGTGTGAGGGAGGGGTGGGTGCGTGTAGGAGCCCCGCCGATAGGTCGCAGGGGTGCGGGGGAGGGGTGTAGAGTGTGCATGCGTGCGTGCGTGTGTGCGTGTGTGTGTGTGTAGGAGGGTGACGTGAATGGGAAGAGGGCGGGCCCCAGAATTGGCTGGGAGAAGGCTGGGGCTCCCGAGGCTGGATGCATGGAAGCCGCAGGGGGGCGCCCTTTGCACTTCGCACTCAAGCGCACAGACGACCAAACCTAGGGAGCGAGGGGGCGCCTGGAGCCCCTGTCTGCCCCGGCCCCTCAACAAAGGGAGCGCCTCGTGAGGTGAGGCGTGCGCCTGGCCTGCCCCCGCAGTGAATTCAGCCTCGTCCGGCCGGGGCTAAGCTCAGAGCCCACGGAACATCCCGGCTAGGCGTCAGCCACGAGGAGCAAACCGTAAAACAGCACCCAGGGATGTGCCTGTTTGCTTGTTTTTAGCAGATCCCTACTACTTGTGATAGGCAGCAGCCTGCAAAAATAAGCCTATGGAACCGGTGGCTAGTGTCTGCAACCAGTGGCTTCCGGAAGTTCTTTGACGCTTTGGTAACGACGGAGCGACTGGACCAATACGGCGCTCTTTCCGGTCTCGTTCACACTCGCCGAGTTCTCCTTTTCCAAGATTGCCTTTGACCCCGGAAGTGAGGTTTTCCGCGTACCTTCCTCCCACCAAGATGGCAACAGCCGAAGACGAGTTACTGCCACCGCGGCTTCCCGAGCTGTTTGAAACCAGCAAGCAGCTTCTGGACGAAGTCGAAGTAGCGACTGAGCCCACCGGTTCCCGGATAATCCAAGATAAGGTGTTCAAGGGACTAGACCTCCTTAAGAAGGCTGTTGAAATGTTAGCACAGCTCGACTTGTTCAGGTATGGGGGACAGGGTAATAATGGCTAAGAACGGAGGTAATAATGGTTACCAAGGGTGGAGTCATTGAGTCTGGGTAGAGGAGACCCTTTTAAAAAGGACTAGGAACCTTTCATTCCCACCTCCCGCTGCGATCTTGTGTACCTTGTTTACGTTCTCCACCTGGCTTCGAGATAGTTGATATCCCGCGACTCTGCTCCCTAGTGTCGACTCTTTGCAAAGGCATTGGGTATGAGCCGTCAGCCACCTTCATTCAAGAAAACCGGCCACTGTTCCTCGGGCCTTCTCCCTTCGCACACCCACCGCCCTCCCCTCCCCCAGGCAGCAAGGGGCTACAGTGTGATTGCCCATCCAGGCTTCACAGCCTCCTCTTTGCTCTTTCCAGCCGAAATGAAGATTTGGAAGAGATTGCTTCCACCGACCTGAAGTACCTGCTGGTGCCAGCATTTCAAGGAGCGCTCGCCATGAAACAAGTCAACCCCAGCAAGCGTCTAGATCATTTGCAGTGGGCTCGAGAACACTTTTTAAACTACTTAACTCAGTGCCAATACTATCATGTGGCAGAGTTTGAGCTGCCCAAAACGAAGAACAACTCACCTGATAATAATACTGCTAGTTCCTCCATGGCCTATCCTAGCCTCGTTGCAATGGCATCTCAAAGACAGGCTAAAATAAAGAGGTGGGTCAATAGCTATAATTTGAGGACTGCCCAATGGCAGTGCTATTGTGGGGGTGTGTGTGCATGTTTTTGGGAGGGAGGGGAACAGTGGTGTCTGTCACTCTTTTGGTTCCTGTTGAGCATTAGGCCTGGTGAGAGGAAGTTCTCCTGAGTTTTTCAAGAAGCTTCTGCCTTTGTTGAGATGGTCATACCTGTCGGACCTCTGCTACCCTGTGGTTGCCAACAGCAGAACGTTCTTTAGCATAGCGTCTCCCGATCATATCCCACAGCACAGCACAGCAATATTCATATGGTACAATGGGGTAGATATCTCTGAAGGGCACAGTGTCTTGTAGCTATAATCCATTTATGGTCCACTGAGTGAGAAGTTCTGTTCTGAGTAATGGCTCAGGTGTGTAACATCCTGAGCTAATGTTAGTCCTGCACAGCTTCATCATGTGACCTTGAAGTTGCTTACTCTCAGTTTAGTGTAAAAAACCATTTGATGAGTGCTCACAGTGTCCAGGATCTATGCTAGGCACTGGGGGTACAAACTGAGTGTGTTTGTAGGAATATGGGTGGTCTCCACCTTGGAGGCGTTTACAGTATGGTGAGGAAAAGAGGCATAGAAACAGAGTAGCAATATAAAAGGATGTGATGGAGAAATGCACAGGTACTGTGAGAACAGACAGGAAGGGCACCTAACCAAAGAAGGAGCAGGAGAGACAGAAGTCTCCCTGGAGGAGGTGACTCCTGTGATGAGTTGTTTAAGGGTGGATAGGAGTATCATCTAGAGGAAGAGGAAACACTATTTCCAGCAGAGGAAATAGTGTTAGTAAAGCTACAGGGGCATGAAAGAGCACAGTGCTGGGCTTGGAATGTATGTGGGGAACTACTGTAAGCAATCAGATGATGCTAGAACATGAAAGGGGTGAGGGAAAAGGGGAAGGAGCAATGCTGAAGAATGTTGTGGGGTCCAGACCAAGGAGACTTGGGGTGTGAGGAAGGTGAAGGAACAGCCCTACTGCTAAGAACGTGGGGAGGGGTTTTAGTCTCAGTTCCACCATTTAATCACTCTGGCTTGGGGTAAGTTGCTTAATCACTTGTGCCTTAATTTCCCCAGCTGTAAAATTCGATAACAATAGGTATTTCTTCATAAAGTAGTTTTGAAGATGAAAAGAGAAATACACAAAAAGCGCTTAGCACAGTGTCTGATACAGTAAATACTCAAAGTCAGCTACTGTTATATCTTAGTAGCTGAGTACAGGTTGTGGAGTCAGAGTGGGGTTTGAGACCCAGCTTTACCTGTAAGCCATTGGACTTTGGGTAACTTATATAACCTGTCTGAGCCTCAGGGTTCCTCATGTGAAATCATGTAAAAATAATAATTGTACCTGTTTTATAGGATTAAGAAACATAAATAAGAGCACATAAAACAGCTAGCACAGTATCTGGCACATAGTCACTAGTCTATAAATGTCACTTACCAGTAGGCCATGCTAAAGAACCTAAACTTCAGTTGCTGACTGGGATTCGCTGGAAGTTTTGGGTTTTTTTTTTAAAGAGTAGCACGATCATATTTGCATTTTAACTAGCATACACTGGTAGCAGTTAGGAAGCGGTGTGAGGGAGAATATTAGATCCAGTTAGGTCACAAGTAATGAGGCCTCACTACAGCAGTGGCAGAAGAGATGGGATAGATTTATTTAGAAGGGTTGAATCGGCAGAAAACTTGGTGATCAGTTAGTTCTGAGAGGTGGGGTAGATGGAAGCAACACAAGGAAGATGTCCACGTTTGTGTGATAGGTAGATGGCTTGTGGAACTCATTAAGATGGGGAATAGAGGAGGAAGAACAAATCGGGATAGGGAAGTGTAAAAATTTGGTATTGAGCCATTTAAGGTGTTTAGGAGTCCTCCAGATAGAGGTATCTGGTAGTATGTAGCTCAGAGGAGAGGCCTGGTCTAGAGAGGTGAAAATTGATTCATTCACTTGGCCAATATGTATTGAGCCTTTCTTGTGCACCAGGAACTGTTCTAGGTAATGGAGAACCAGATGAAGTCAATGGCCTCATGAAGCTTTTATTTTGGTGGAGGAGACAGATAATAAGCTAGTAAATAATAATATAATTTCAGGTGGTATATATAGTTCAGGGTTAGTGACAGTGAATAATTTTTGAGGAAATGGGATAAACTGATAGGAAGTGGAATTCAGCATCATGTCTTTTGTAAGAAGGTGGGGGCAGCTCATTGGCACGTAACAGGTAGTTTAAGCAGTGAGTTTGGTATCCAAATAATTATACTTTACCCCAAAAAGGACTATAAATGCCATAGAGATACAGTGTTGTAGAGAAAGACCAAGGAGTGAGCGCATCTGGTTGGAGGGATGAGGATGAAGTTTCAGGATGCAATGCACTTGAGAAGAGCCTTGAATTATGGTCAAGAATGGAAATTACAGATTTTCCTGAATGTAAAAGAAATAATACTGATTGTAGAAAATTGGAAAACCAATATTTTTTGAATTAAAAAAAAAAGGCCTTAATCCTGGCACTCAAAGATGATCTTTGTTAACTTCCTGATGTATTTGCTTCCAGATATATAGTTACTTTAGTTAATAAATGTGGAATAATACTGTATATATAGTTTTTTTATCCTCTTCAAGCCTAACATCATATTGTGAGCATTTCCCTGTGTCTTTTGAAACCATGATATTTAATGGTTACATATTATTCCATCCTATAGTTGTGCCACAATTATTTAATCTTTTATCGTCAAATATTTAGACTATGTATAGATTGGGGGGGCTCGTTTGTTTCTTTTGGTTTTGCTCTTGTAAGTAGTGGTATGAACAGACATCTTTAACTGCATCTGTCACTGTTTCATTAGGATAGATTTCTAGAAGGACCAGTGACTAGATCAAAGGGTTTGAATATTTTAAGACTTGATGGTAGCAACATTGCTTTCCACAATAACAAAGTTTTAGAATATGCCCCACCACACTGGGCTTGCACGTTAACACTTAGAAAATCCAGTTGGGAAAACCAAAAAAGGTATCTCATTGTTTTTACTTGCATTTCTTTGGCTGGAAAGCTTGGTCTTTGAACATTTTTTAAAAATGTCTACCAGACAAGATAACAACGTTATCTTTATGCTAATGGCTCCCACATTTATGTCATGAACCCAGACCTTTCCTGACCTTCAGACTCACAGACATCTAAGATTTAACATGGCCTAAGTTGAACCCTTGGTTTTTTAACTCCCAGTGTGCCCCCACACCCAGGTCTTCATCTCATTGAGTGCACCACCATTCACTTAGGAGTTAGCTTCACTTCCTCCCTTCTGAATCTCTACATCCCATCCACCAGCCAGGCCTGCCAGTTCTAGCTACAAAACGAATCTTCTGTTCTTCTGTTTCTCTGGGTCTCCACTATCATACCTTAGTGTAGGCCAGTAGCACTTCACCTGAAATAGCCAAACCACTAACTATGACGCCCTGCACAGTCTGGCACCTGCTTCTCTTCAGGCTTACCCTCTCCACTAGGTTCCAGCCCCAGTTGCCTTTTCTTTCAGTTCTTTGCACAAACCCAGTTCCTTCCTACTACAGTCTTTGTATGTGTTCTCCTTGCATGACATGCTCCTCACTTTTCTGTCGTCCTGGGCTTTGTCTTTCTCCTCTACTCTAGAATGTGTACTCCTTGAGGGCAGAAGCTATTTCTCTCTTATTCACTGTGGTATGCCTAGCACAGGGCCTAGCAAAGAGGAGGTGCTCAAGAAATATTTATTGTTGACAAGCAGGGGGAACAACATGAGCAGAAGCCCAAGGCGCTTGAGGTATGTACAGGGAATGCAGAATGGTCCAGTTAGGCAGAAGCTAAAAGTACTGTGGTCGGAGGTCTGCACAAGGAAGTAATGTGTGTATAGAATCCTGAAAGTGAGAGGCAGAAAGACAAATTGACATGTTATAATAGTATTTCAGCTGGGAAGAAGAGATAAAAATGAAGTGACAGCTATCAAAGACATTAGTTTTGCAGGAAACATTTGTATGATTAGAAAACACATTGTTGAGATCCTTGTTTATTTTCTGTAAGTCTTCCCTCTTTACCTACTGAGGCCATCCTACATAAAACACCTAAATGGTATATCCTCTCTCTCAAAACCTGTTTCTTCACATATCCTCTCTACTGATTCTCAACTTTGACAGTAAGTATGAGTCTGGTTTGATTATCTGCACCTCCATTCTTGTGACAGAAATAGAGAAGTAGAAGCTAGGTAAGTAATGGATGGGTCTAGTGTTAGATTCACTGAACTTAGATTCTGAAGTGCCAGCTGGGTAGCCATGTCCATAGACAGAGGGCAATGTAACTAAAACTGGGAGGAGACTGTTTGGTGGCTAGTGCTAAAACTTTAGGAGCTTTTGGTGGGTATGGATAGTTTACCAAGGAAAAACGTTCAGAGAGGGAAAAAATGCCAAGGATAAAACCTTGGGGCAAATTAAGGGAGCAGAAAGAGGCGGGAAAGAGCAATCAGAAGTAAGACACTCAGCAAAGTATAGATAGAAGTGCTTTTAGAAGCCTGAGAAAGAGAGAGAGCAAATGTTAAGTACTCTTTGAAGCTTCTCCCTGCCAAGCTCCCCTCCTAAATACTGTAACATTTAGTTTTTGTTACTTATCATAGTGTAACTATCTGTCATTCTGTAAACTGCAAACTCCTAAAGGTCAGAGACCTTGACTAATTGTATTTTTAGTATCATAATTGTATCACTGTATCCCTAGAGCCCAAGACAACAAGACGATTATAGTAAGTACATGAAATTTCTGTGGGAGGAACAGTTACACGGTAGTCATAAGACAAATTGAAGCAATGCAGTATTGCACATAAAGCCTGGACTTGGAGTGACCAATCTGATTTCCTCCACTTAATAAGTGGGGCATCATCTAGCCCCTCCTGGCCTCCATTTTCCCATCCTCTAACAATATTTGTATTCTGTTGCTGCTTATGAAGTACTTTCATGTGTATTGTTCCATTTGATTCTGTTAACCCCAGGAAATGTAGCTTATTATCTCTATTTTATTTTATTTATTTTTTTTTTTTGTAAGAGAGGCAGATCCCGAACACGTTCCAGGATGTTAGCTTTAACGTTTATTTATTTTTGGGACAGAGAGAGACAGAGCATGAACGGGGGAGGGGCAGAGAGAGAGGGAGACACAGAATCGGAAACAGGCTCCAGGCTCGGAGCCATCAGCCCAGAGCCTGACGCGGGGCTCGAACTCACGGACCGCGAGATCGTGACCTGGCTGAAGTCGGACGCTCAACCGACTGCGCCACCCAGGCGCCCCTTATTATCTCTATTTTAGAGATAAGGAAATGGGATATGAGAATTTGTTTGTCCAGAGTTACCTCATAAGTGTTCGGGCTAGGATTTAAACGCAGATCTTCAAATTCCCAGTTCTCGTGCTCATTCCAGCAAGGCACAGAAAGAGAAGAATGGTCATTTGAAAGGATAGACTATGGATTGAAGGAAGGTGTTTCTAGGATGGGGGAAAGGCACCAGTAGAGTGAAAAATTGTAACTGCTGATGCCAGGATGATTGATAGCGTGAGTCCTGGGAAAATGTGGGTAGTGACAGGTTTGATAGCAAAAGTGGAATGGTAAAGACATCGCCCTGGTAAAAACAGCATTAGCTCCTTAAAGACGAGGGAAGGAGGAAAGGTGAAACTACAGAGATTTTAAGGGAAAGAAGGAGATTGATGGCCATTGTCTGGCCATCTGGCACGTGTGATGGTGGCATGGAATCCACAAAAGATGAACAAAAAGAGATGAGCAAGAGTGACCGCTTGGCCAAAGTGTGATCATTTGAATTTGTTGTTGACTCATTTGACACAAATCTGTAATTCATGAGCTCTCTGCAGCAGCCTGAGACCAGAAAAAGGGAGTGGGGAAAGTTGTCCAGAGTCAGAAGGGGGACAGGCATCGGGGATCCTAGGGTGGTAGGGAGTGTTTCCATGTAATGGCTCACCATGGGAAATCTAGAACAGTGCTGAAGGTCTAGGATGGTGATTTTCAATCTGTCCCTTGGAGCTGTAAGATTCCACCACAGTGCCTGGGTAAGGGGGGATGTTGGGAGCCCTCCTCTATTTTAACTAGGGTGGATTTTTATCTGTTTATTACTTACGGAGTTCCAAATAAACTCTCACAAGAAGAAAGGGTTCTTGGAGTGCCTAGGTGGCTCAGTCGGTTAAGGGTCCGACTCTTGATCTCAGCTCAGGTCTTGATCTCAGGGTCGTGAGTTCAAGCCCCACATTGGGCTCCGCGCTGGGTGTGAAGCCTACTTTAAAGAAGAAGGAGAAGGAGAGGAAGGAGAGGAAGAAGAAAGGGTTCTTTTACTAAGACAAAACGGTTTTAAAAACGCTGGCCAAAAAAGCAGGAGTGGAAGAGCTAGAAGTTTCAAAGATGACAAGGAGTGAAATCGTAGGAGTGAGGAAGTGAAGAAGCAGCTGGAGAGCATGGTTACACTGCATTCAGATAATGGGAGAGGAAGCACAAGAACGTTACTCAGAGGACCAGTAAACTGACCCAGAATTTACCCTGGATTGTATACATTATAAGGCCCTGGTATGTTTTTTCCTGATGTAGGTACATCCAGGAAAGAGGGTGGGGGTAGGATTGGGACCAGAATGAAATGTTCTCAAGCAATGTCTGTATCTGTAATAGCATTCATGAACTAGGAATTGACCTTTGTGCTGTTTTGCTCAGAAGCTGCCAATGACGATGCTGTGACAGTTATTTGTAACATATAAACTGCCCCATTTGTTGGGTAAAAGGATCAGAAGATCCTAAAAGTTTGTATAATAAAGAATGTCTCCAGAGCAGTGGTTCTTGATTTTACATGGGTCATGGACCTTGTTGATAATCTGATAAGAACTACAGATCTCTCCCAGGCCAAAAAATTTTAAAAATAAAAAGGTAGAATTCTATATTAAATTTCAGGGAATTCAAGGACCTCCTCCCCTCAAACTCTATCCAATGGACCTCAGGTTAAGAACTCCAGATTCTTTTCCTTGACTTTTCTCTCTCAAGCCCTTACATCCAATAAATCTGTTTTCTATTTTAAATACATCCACATCTCTCCACCTCCCTGTTTCAAGTCACTGTCTCATTTAGATTGTGGCAATATCCTCTTAATTGATGTCCCTGCTTCCATCCTTGCCTCCCACCTCCCGCCCCACATTCTATACTCAGTACAGCAGCCAGACTGGCCCTTATAAAAAAATTTTCATGTCACTCTATTTATGTCATGTGTTTTCTTCAAAAGCCTCCAGTGGCTTTCCTATCTCAAAATATCCTGGTGTTTAATATTTGGGGTCTTGGAGCACACAGGGTTCTACAAATTGTGGTCCTGGCTATCTCTCTTACCTCATTTACTGTCATTCTTCTTCACGCCAGCCACACCGGCCTCCTATCTGTTTTGCAAACATGTCAAGTCAGGCTCTCCCACTCCAGGACCTTCGTATTGCTTTTCCACCTTAGAATACTTTTTTGGATATTGGCATGGCTTGCTTCCTTACTGAAGTCTTTGCTCAGATGTCACCTCTTCCTGATCACCTTGTATATAATAGCAGTTCTACTTCTATGCCATCATTCTGTTCACCTTACCTTGCTTTTTGCTGCTGCTTCATGGCACTTATCACAACCTGACTCATCATCTTTTTGTCTGCTTCCACTAGAACGAAAGCTTCAGGAGAGCAAGGACTTTGTTGTATACACTGCTGTATATCCAGCACTGAGAAGAGTGCCTGTCACACAATAGGTACTCAGTAAATATTTTTCAGATGAATGATAGATGACATGTAGAATGTATCCTGAAAAAGGCAAGCAGGATGGTTGTGAGTCTTTATATTAGGCACCTGGCTGGGTCAGATGGTGAGTTTAAGCTCCATGTTAAGCATAAAGCTTACCTTTTAAAAAAATGTGATAGTGTAAATAAAAGCACTTAGTGTAGCACCTTGTACTTGAGAAAAATATAATAGAGTATTTCCTTGGTTCAAACCATATGATTCCCTTAGCAAAAGGATGAGCCAGAAGAGCTGGGACTGTTTTGCAATCTGTGACTCCTTGAAGTGGTACTTCCCAAGTGGACATTGTTTGATACTAAGTATCTAACCTAGTAAGCCTTGAGCTTCCACCTGGAAGATGATGGGAGGAGTTGCTCAGATTAGGTTATATCTGTAATTTTCCAGCTTTAGAATGTATTCCTGAGCCCCTATTCATCCATTCCTTGCCTTGCAGTCTTGAGGGAACTGCCCTGGTGGTGAGTTCTGGGGTATAGAATCTGTATTTTTGCCAAAGGGGAAACCGGCATACTCACTGCCTGGTCATCAGCAAAGGTAAACTCTTATTGTGGCCTCCTTTGATGGAATAGCGCTCTATTTTTGAGTTCATGGGTAATGCTTTTCTGTGCAACAGATACAAGCAGAAGAAGGAGGTGGAGCATAGGTTGTCCGCACTGAAATCTGCTGTGGAAAGTGGTCAAGCAGATGATGAGCGTGTTCGTGAATATTACCTCCTTCACCTTCAAAGGTGGATTGGTATCAGCTTAGAAGAGATTGAGAGCATTGACCAGGAGATGAAGATCCTGAGAGAAAAAGACTCCTCAAAACAGGTAAGCCTGGTCACTGCCCATATAGCTCAAAAAGCTGTTAGAGATTTGGACGTTCTACAGGAGAGTAATCGAATTAAAATCCTTTTAAGTCTCCATAAAATCATTGTTCTTCTTAAGATTAGTGGAGAAGGCTGAAGATTCACTAGGCGTAGCCTTCTCTCTAGCTTACAGTGTTGTTTCCCAGGGATTTGTAACCTGTAAAACACTTCTAGCCATTTGTAATTTTGTGACATGCCACAGGTAGGGAGACTTCTTTAAAGTAAAAATTGGTTTTGGCCATGAGAGGTCATGACTGCCTAAGGAATGCACAGGGAGGTGGGCCTTTAAAATCTGTGTTTGACTGTAATAAATCAGAAGAGGGATGGGATGGGAACTGAGAAGGAAAGTAGCACTGGAGGAGAGAAAGAAAAGTGTAGGAAGAAGATCAAAGGAAAGATCAGGAATATATTTAGGTTTGGGGAGGAATCCAAATTTAACCTTAGACAATGATGCACTCTTACACCCTTAGATCTCCCAAGTAGGAGACACAGAAGGACATTTCCATGCACAAAATACTGGGTGTACTGATAAAACCTGATGTAAGGCAGCTTTGGCCAACTTTGAAGATCATCACCGTGTTTTGGAGCTGCTGCTTCAAAAGATTAGGCTCCTCTGCCACTTACTCTTTGGTTCAAGATACAAGCATGGATTGAGTTGAATTTATCAGCTAGTCGCAAGCATTTATTTCGGTCCTTAGAGAAACCTCTTCCAAATTGGATTTGTGCTAATTATTAGCCTAGGAGCTTATGCCTCCAGGTAACATCAACCTAGTTCCTCATGTTAAACGATCAAAGAATAAACAATATTCTAAGACCAGGAGGCCCCTTGAGCATCTCTAGATGAATGGTTTTCAAGCATTTTGAGGCTGGACTCTTCTGGATCCTCTCCTGCCCCCTTCTTTGTTGTTGTTGTTGTTGTTGTTGTTGTTGTTGTTGTTGTTGTTAAACACTCCCTTATTTGGTGTTGGGATCAGCTCTGGAAGTGATGGACGTAAACCCAAGTGAACACCTTTTCTCTGACCATACTTTGTTTCAGTATGCTCGGTACAGCTGAGGTTCCCTGAAACATTGTTATACGACACTGTATGAAAGTTACTAACACAGTCTTCCCCCCTTGCATTTAGGAACACCGTCTTCTAAAAACCTGGAAGTTCTTGACAGTTAATTGCATAGTTACATTGGAAAGGGTCTTAATCATTCAACTTTAGCACTGAAGGCCAGGCTGAGGAAAGGGACTTCAAAATCAGCTTGAGGGATTTATCTGGAACATGGAAAAAGCCTTTGGAATCTCCTTCTTTAGAGGGGAATATTTTTTTTAATAATGCAAATCATTTTATTTTTTTTTCAGTTTCTTTCCTTTTTTTTCAATATATGAAGTTTATTGTCAAATTGGTTT